GTTGATATTTTGCTATTACAGATAACATTCATACTCCCTGTTATTTCTTGATATTTTGCTGTTACAGACAACATTCCTACTCCCTGTTAATTTGTTGATATTTTGCTGTTACTGACAACATTCCTACTCCCTGTTAATTTTTTGATATATTGCTATTACAGACAACATTCCTACTCCCTGTTATTTCTTGATATTTTGCTGTTACAGACAACATTCCTACTCCCTGTTAATTTGTTGATATTTTGCTATTACAGACAACATTCCTACTCCCTGTTATTTCTTGATATTTTGCTGTTACAGACAACATTCCTACTCCCTGTTAACTTGTTGATATTTTGCCATTACAGACAAGATTCCTACTCCCTCTTAATTTGTTGATATTTTGCTATTACAGACAACATTCCTACTCCCTGTTAACTTGTTGATATTTTGCTATTACAGACAAGATTCCTACTCCCTGTTAGTTGATATTTTGCTATTGCAGACAATATTCCTACTCTCTGTAAATTTATTGATATTTTGCTGTTACAGGCAATATTCCTACTCTCTGTTAATTTATTGATATTTTGCTATTACAGACAATATTCCTACTCTCTGTAAATTTGTTGATATTTTGCTATTACAGACAACATTCCTACTCCCTGTTAATTTATTGATATTTTGCTGTTACGGACAATATTCCTACTCCCTGTTAATTTGTTGATATTTTGCTATTACAGACAAGATTCCTACCCCTCAGGTAAATGAAGTCCCAACATTTCATCTCCTTGTGGTTAGTGCTTTGTCTCCTGCTGTGGTACACAGGTCAGTAAACATCTTATGTGAACTTCATAAAAAGATGAGCAGGACATTTGCCAGTATATAATGCACAATGATATTTTGAAAAAAATTTATTCATCATTCATCAAAATTTTTAAATAAAAGCTAAGCATAGAAAATACCAGTAATGCACCTCTAAAATATAAGTAGGTAAAATTAATACATACAGATAAATGTAGATATTAAAAAAGCAAATTAGTACCTGGTATGTCTTTGCTTGGAGAATTCTTGTACTGTGGGCCTTTGCTTATAAAGAGAAAGATGTCTTCAAGCCAGTTCAAGAATTTCAGGTATCTGCATGTTATATAGAATGTAAGACATATCAGTGTTACAAAATCAAAATTTACAGTAAGGTTCATATTTATTTTACCAGAACTAATAACCTGTCAACAAAGGTTTAGCTTGTGATAGAAATATCCTCAAAAATGTCCCTTTTCCCCCTAAGAATTCCAGTTTTCCCTGAAGAAAGCCCCCCACCCCAATTACATTTAGTAGGTGGAAGGATTTGATTTCATTTTTCAAAGAAGATCCATGTCTGATAAACTTTCTATGTTACCCCATTATCTTGGACAGTTGCACTATCACTCAGTATGAGGACTTATTTGAATTACAGAGATGTACTGAACAAACACCTTAAGGACTGTCTGATTTTACCTGGTAGTAATTCTTATGATATTCCTCTGTGTGTTTGTGTGATGGATGTAGATTTTGATGGACAGAATGAACTCTTAGTTGGAACATATGGCCAGGTAAATATACCAGATATCTATATGTTTAATGCTTCACTTAAGAAAATCTAGCTATATAGAAATGACTTTTTATCTACAAGTAAGATGAAGCAAATAGATTGAAGTAGGAGTAAAATTCAACTACTGACTGAAGTCTCTATAACTTCTAGCCTTGTAAAATTTATTATTCAAATAGAACACTTTTATTACCTTACCCTATAGAAGTTGAGAATAACTTATGCTACATGAATATCCTGTATTTAACAGTGGCCTCAGCATCTTAGGTTAGATTTTTTATGGAGCAGGTCCAATGCCAAAGTATTAAACTATAATCCCTACCTGGACCAAATTTGCATGGATGCTGCATCTAGGGCTGCTTACTTTGGAAGCCACATCTGACCTACGAGGGTTGTGGACTATGCCAATCTTCGTTATACTATCTTCAAGAAATTTAAGATGAGCACATTATCATATGTAAAAATATTTATTTTGTTAAAGTGTGAAGTTTCATTCCATATGATTTAATAGAATTCATGTTATTTAATTTTAAAATCAACACGTTTTGTAACCACGGAGCAAACTCAACAACACTGTAACGTCAAAAACATACCGACATGAGGTTCTCAAAAATACTATTTTCACGCAGTATTGCCCAATACCAGTGCACTCATTAAAAAAGTTTCTCTATCACTTGAGATCTATTTTACTAACAATTGTTCCAGTAGCATCATTTTGTTTTTCAATGTTATATAATTTTTTTACTGCATAAGTGTGCTTTCACTAGATCAGCATATGTGAAGCGCCAAACTCTTAGCATGACGTTACTAACTTTTCAATGTTTTTGATATAATATTTTACAGATTATCCGTTTTCTCACAGATCACCATCGTCTAAGCAATGTACTCTATCATTCAAATACCGCTTGTCCATGTACACAGACATGCATGGCTCGCTTTTGATATATTTCCTACTTCCTCCGGCATTTTCAGAGTTTTTTTCAGGAGTTTTCCAGAGTACAACACAAATCTGATGCTCCGTGACGTTCTACGACGTCATCTTTTTTGTTTTTTTCAATGAGGACTACCTGTCTTCTGAAACTGATTTCTTTTCAACGAAGCAAAATATTAAGCTATAACTTGGAATCAGAAACGGTGAAACAATTCTTCATTTGAACGTGTAGAATTTTTCCATTTTTGTGTCATTTTACGAAAGATATGACTTCAGACATTATTTAGTGTCTTGATTGTAAATCACAAAATTTTGACCTGCTCCGTGGTCCAATTTTCGCATTTTTTAAGTCTAAATAATTTTGAAATAAAGTACGATATTTTGAAATTTTTTAATACACATCATTCGAATTTACTGTTGAAATATTTCTTCCAAATTTGGATTTAATATGACGTTAAGTAAAAAAGATATGACAGTCGTCCACGAACTTTCCGAACAACCCTCATATACATGTATTTCTAATTCATCAACCAGATTTAAATCTTACATTGATTAACTTTTAATCATGTTTTTCATTGAATGTTCATTTTTGAGGGACTGTGACTCGCATATATGTTCCATAACAATCATTACAGTGAGCTTTGAACAGTGCATTTTGAACACGGTGTTGTTTTCACTTATAGGAACTTTTGGCCTACAAGTTTGTAGACTCCAACGAAGAAAGCAAACAGTTGGAGGACAATTGTGATCAAATCTCCAAAACAACAGACTCATTAGACGATACACGAAATCGTCATAAATCCAGTGAATGCAGGCATTCTAATAACTTTGATGAGGACTTGACAAAAGCAAACCTTTCCCGCAAAACCAAATCTCAGGAAAACATTTCCACAGACTCCCAAGGCTGTGAAAATACCTGCTTAGTTAACATGTACAACAATGCTACATACCCCTACCCCCACCAGGCGGGGTACAACCTCCTGTGGCAGAGGAGTTTCTCTTGTCCTGTGATGGGGGTAGACAGACTGGACATTGTTGGAGATGGCCTTGATGACCTCATTGTGGTCACTCTCAAAGGAGTTCATATAGTACAGGTTTGTGTTTCTTTAATACAAAGTTATGTTGTGCAATTTTACTTAGTAGTCAATTATGTGACATAAAATTGGAATTTCCTTCAAGGAGGAACATCTACAGTACATTTTACAAATTCTTCTACCCTGTCTTTCCAGTACAAAATTATACTCTTTAATAAGTAAAATGTCATATTTTTTCAGCCCGATTTGTTTGATGTTGCAAAAGTGTGTTCCGAGAGATTGGGTTTGTTAGCCAAACTGGTTCGAGATGCAAAACTGGAAGATAAAGAATCCTGAAACAATGCATCATAACTTTGTACAGTAAAAAACATGCTTATAGCAAAGTGTCAAGAGAGAACAATTTGGATTTGTTATAAATGTAATTCTATATATCCAACAATAATTCATTTTTAAATCACATTGAATAAATATTACTTCACTGCTGCAAGCTCAAATTGTTATAAGCGTAATTCCTATATGTTTTACTGTAATGTGATAAAATGGAGCTGGATATAGTGTGTTGATTGAATGATGATATTAAACATAAAGCAAAAGAATTCAACGGAATGTTCATGCATGAATTACTCAAGGTAATTAAATAACTTAAAAAGGATTCAGCCATGAGGATTTATTTGAAAAAATAAAATGTATAAAATTATTTGTTTGTTTTTTTTTTTTTAACATATACCTCTACTAAGTACATGCAATCAAACCTCATTATCTAGAACTCAATGGGACCAAGAAAAAACTTCGAGATATCTGAGGATTTGAGATATCCAGGGAAAATACTTAAAGAGTAAGGGGTTGGGACTTCCAAATCACTTGGACATATCCATGATATTTGGATATCCGTGTTCAAGATACCAAAGTTTAACTATATATAAAAATACTTCGAAATCTATTTAATTTTAAGTTCCCAATTGATTAAGAATATTTCCACCATCTTTAGGTAATGTACTTTGGCAAATTTATAAATTTACTGAATTTACAGATACTAAGCTGAACATGAAATTTCCAAATACAGTTAAACTTCATTATCTTGCACACTGATATCTTGAATATCAGGATACCGTAGATGCACAAATTTTCATGGGAATAAAATTTCTTCGATTTGTCATCTAAAAAGGTTTCATTGGCATTTATTTTTGTTGTTTCAAAAGTAGCCCTATTCAACATGTCATATAAAAATTTCGTATGGATTTAATTTCATTGATAATTGTTAACAATGAAATAAATGAAATTTATTCCCCATTGAGTATCTCTGCTTTTACAGTATGTCCAAGTGAGTTTGCAGTCCCAAACACTTTAACTTTTATGTTTTTTAAAGTTTTCTCAAATCATTGGATATCTTAGAGTTTAATTTTGGTCCCCGTCAAGTGTGAGATAATGAGATTTGACTGTATTAGTTGTAGAAAACAAGAATAACATCCTCTGCAAGACAGTGTCTGTAATTTATTAAATATTTAAAAATTATCACATACATATATATAATATATCACTGTAATACTAAATCAACATACAAGTCAATAACAATGATATGAACTCTGCATGATAAAGTGCAAACAAAAATAACTTCAAATCAAAATATCACATGATCACTCACATGACTGACAACAACCAATCACAAACTTCCTATTAGGAAGCATAATGTATCATCGTGGCAGACTAGAGAGTAAATGGAGATTAGAGACGCAGTTCCATCTCTGTAATTATACTGGTAAACTTAAGTCATCATTTTTTTTATTTCCACAAAGTTGGAGAAAAAAAATTTGCAACCCAGACAATTTGAGTATGGAGATCTTACCATTTAACAATAGAAATTAAACTTATAAAATGAATCATTCTAAATGTCACTGAAATTGTCAAAACATTGCTTTAGAATGATTCATTCATCTATAACACATTTTTAACATTAAATGCTGTCCAAATACAAATGCATTCATTTTCTTTAAATCAAATTCAATGACTTATTCACTTGCATCATACACACATGTCCATGTTTATACCAAATACTCATATTCTGAACTGAAAATTAAAATACTATCCAGTTCTAGACTTAAAATACAATGATTTCTTACCAGCAAAGCATATTATTGAAAACATGTACTATAAGGATGGAAGCCATTACTGCACATATAAATTTATATCCACATTTAAGTACATATAATACATGTATTATAAGTTCAATTCAACAAAGTCACAAAGGTAAAAAGCAAAGGAATATTGCACATAGAAACAGATGACTATGGTCATCCTGTGTTGTATTTCTTTGTTGCCCTGTCACTTTTCCTGATCACTACATTGCTATCTTATCTACCTCTCAGGTCTGGTTCTCTTTCCACTTTTCTTCATCCTCTTTACGAGCATCTGGTTGCAGCTGATTCCGCATGCCTCCCAAGACATTGGATGTGGCCTCTGTCGCTATAATGACAGGGGAGAGAACTGTGGGAGGGACCAGTCTAATGGCCGCCCCTACAGCCCCCGTCATACCTTTTTGTTGATGCTCTTTTGTTGCAACCTCTACGATGTTGTATGCTGTGTTACTGAATCCCTGCAGAAAGACATTTCAGATTAGACATCTACTCAGTGATGTGTATTTTTAGCCCATTTTTTAAAGAATAAGAGAGTGTAGCATTCATTCATCCATTATATTCATTCTTCCAATAAGAATGCTTAGTTTGGAAATTTTCCTTCTTAAAAGTATGTACATAATATGTATATTACATTAAATATGAAATAAGCATAAATGCCTCTACTGATCAATCCTTACCTCTGTGATAGCAATGTAAGCATTTTCAACCCCCTCTCTCATATCTGCAGGTGGACCACGTAACCGACGACGCTGTACTCGACACCCAGGGCCAGGGGTCACCATGTCATAGGTCACTTCAGCAACATACTGTAAAATCAGAACAATGCTTATTTACACATATGGTACAAAAAGTCAACCTAATTCTACATCAATACTAACATATTGCATTTGTTTATAAATGTACATGTATATCTTTTTCAATTAAAGATCTATTTGAAGGCATAATTTAACAAATTACACAATATAAATTGTACATATCAATACCTGCACAGACTGGACCACTCGATTGGTCAGTTCTAACATAGCCATGGCAGTGGATGTGGAGAAAGAGGTTGCCCCTCTTTGGAACCCCCGAACAATTCTGCCGTCTTTCTTGTACTGCTCCACAGGCAGCCAGAAAAGATCCCTGATGCCTTGACCTAAAACCAGGAACAAGATATGAAACAACTTTTATAGCTCTTTTCATGTTTATTTGTATCCAGTATTTATTTACTTGATGACAAGAACAACCTTTTCCAATTATGAGCAATGCTTAAAGCTGAAAACGACTCATAAAAGAAAAAGATTTGATTTTTAACTACCACATTTCCCTTTAATTCCACCATATTACTTTACTTTTAAGCATGAAAATGCATGATTTTGCAGTGAATAAAACTTCCTACTGTAGGATATGTATCTTGGCTCAAAAATTTATCCAAAACAGGTATGCAAGACTCACAAATGACTGTACAAGAGTTTTGTACAAGTTATATATGCATGAGGATTTTTTTTCCACATACATGAGATTCACATGAAAGTATCTTCACTAGGTATAATAATTTATTTATTGTTGTCCTTATATCACCTCTTGGAATACAAACAAAGGTTTTGACACCTAGGTAGCAGTGGCCAAACAGTAATTAGGTGTAACAAATGTGAAGGATATGTCCCTGTGCTGATATTGGAGATAGGAAAACTAATATGTTGTATGCCTATTTATGGAACGTGTTCAGCTGTAAGTATTTGCTTATATATATATTTTAATTATAAGTTTTTTCACATTTATTTTGTAAATAAACAGAACACTTTACAACATATACTGATGAAGTGGTGGATTCTGTTTGATCACAAATCTAATTACCTAATTGTACAAAAGAATGCATTGGTCCTACACCTCCCAGAATGCTTGGAAGCTGAGTTTTTAAGATGTCTGTAATCCACTCATTAACACAGTAAGCCTGCAGCTTGTCTAGGCCCAGGAGGCTGAAAATACAAACATGTACCACTTACTGAGAAGAATATTCTTATATATAGATATACATGGACTTAAAAATTTTAATGACATACCAAGGGCCAATTCCATACAAACAGCATAAAGTATGAAGTTGTGATTTAAGCCACAACTGTGTATCACGAGAATTTCATTTTCACTTTGCACTGCAAGAGGTGTACATCAATATCTTTCTTACCCATGTTTATAATTCAGTCTCTTTAGTTTTAATTCAGAACAGTTCAAATTAGCTAATCCCACCAGTACACCTGCTAGGGTTCCCTAAAAATAGAAAATCACCACTATACTGTAAATCACTTTTTTCTTCACTTTATTTTCAAGTAACTATGCAAGACCGTCAGCTCACACAAATTTCATTCTCATATACATGTATATTTTTATCATTGAGGATTATATTCAACAATAACCAGAATTCATGAAAGTTTGACTTACATGTTCTCTATCAACCCACTTTTTTCCATGGTAGTCAAGGCGAATTGGCACATCAGGAGAAAATATAAAGTTTCTAAAAATAAGAGAAATAAATCTGAAATGTGATGCAAGGTTCCCTCTTTAAACCATATAAAATTTTGTTGTATTTTTTTTTTCTAAGTATTCAATTGTTTTCCAAATACACGTTTGAATAATTTTTTGTCAAATGTGCAGGCGTGATCTATGCAAAAACTAATGGAGATGGAGACTTCTTTTACATTTCTTCTGAACAATATTCAAAACTAAATGCTCTGCAAGATAAACTACAAGTTACTATTCCCTACTTGATAAATACTGGCTGTGATTGTTCCGTCCGGTCCTGGTCACTACTGGTGGCAGAAGTAGCCGAGGACACGGACGCCTGACTGGCCATGCTCTGCTGCATCTCATCAAATTTCATCAGCAATTCCTGATTATTTCCCACTTCCCCAGGGATGTCAGGTTGACCAACAGTTATTACAGGAGCTGGGGCACCACCACTGCCTCCAGACACTGGCCTTGACCTTTGTTTGGGGTCAGTGTCACTTGGATTGTCCAGATTACCACCTGTGATTTCTGTGAAGAATTTCTTTAGGAAGAACAGTGAGTCCTAAAAGATAACGATTAACTACCCTGTGAATAAACTGTACAACTCTACTGAAGGGTATAATGTTATAAAAATTTAAGAGAGAAACAGTTGAAAATTCTTTCTGTGTAAATATTATGAACATGTACATGCACTTTTATATCTTTGAATGGTTATATTTTTGAAAAGATTTCTAAGCATTCAATGCCAGCAAAACCTTTCTTTGAGATTGCTTGCAAAAATATTTAAATAACAAATCTTCACCTGATCAATGTTGAGTCTGAGGGGCTGTAGAGAAACACGTAACGAACACTCCTCTGTTTTCACACTGGGATCTGGTCTCTTATGTACTGCTTTAATATACACCTAAACAAAAATATAAATATTTAACCTGCAAATGCTGCTAGTGAACGCCAGAAATTTCTTTCAAATTCCTTGACTTTTTAAACAAGAATTTTTGTTTAATAAAAAAAAGGAATATTTCTTTGAAGTACTAACCATATTGGAATTGGTTTGTTTTGGCATATTTTCTGAGGAATACTGATACAGGAACTTGTTGATTTTGGAGTCGGCCAGCCTGTCCCTAATCTCCACATCACTGATGACAAGCACTTGACGTGAGGCTTGCTCTGTGTGACTGGGGTAGGTCTCATGCTGAAATCTCACCTGAAATTAAAAAAATACAAACTTGTATCACACCACAGAGATTTTTACTGTCTCTCTATACATGCTAAAATCTTTCGTATGGATGAAATATTGCTGGAGCTGTAAGTACCCACACAATAAGTACATTAAATGCAGCAGGTAAAAGTAATTAGAATTTCCAGTACTCATTCTTTTATACTAGTATCCAGTTCAGTGAAAATAAAAGCTATTAAAGAAACTGTAGAGTTTAAACAACTTATATTAGTAAACCCTATAGTGCTCTACCTTGGTCAACTGAAGCTCCAACAAAGTATTGTGGTCCCTCCCAACTCCTCCCCGATGTTGCCATGGAATACGGTCCATTGGTGACCCTTTGGAGGTAAATCTTATTGAAGGCTCCATCACATAGTCTCTGTAATTATAAAACAATGAGGGCTCAACATTAGCCATCTTTTTTATGCATAATGAAATACCAAATGGCTGCATAAAAAATATTTCAAAGATGTCCAATGTGTTTGTGTGTTCAAATCCTTTGACACTTTTAAAGTTAACCTACTAAGTATTTTGTTCCAACATAATTTTTTATTAACTTTTCAAAACTACAACTATTAATTGAACTAATAACAAATTTTACAAGTATTAATTTATTGTAACTAGAAGAAAATTTGAAGTCTCTGTATAGTATTTCTTTTTTGAATATAAAATTACATATATTAATATAAATAAATTATAAAAAATTATTTTCTTAAATAAATATAGTTAATATTTATAATTGCAATATATAAAATGTACATGTATAATTATATAACATGCATATTATATCATACAACATATACTTACAGGGAATCTCTACAAGACATGTCTATTTTTTATTTGGAATCAATTTCAATTTGCTATTACAAAAGTTGGATCATTACTGATCTTCTGCTGTTAAGATAAATGAAAAAAAAACCACTTTACACGAATATTATGAAATAAGATAAACTTACCCATAATCCATCATTTTCCGTGACATCACTACCTCTTTTTCCACCGGTTTCCGTGGTGCAGGTTTATCACAAAAGTCTCTTCCACCATACATATACCACACAATGGTCAGTTCTTTCAGAGTGTACCTGTACTCAGCACCGGGATAGTTGTCGGGGGCTTTCAATAAATCTGTTTTACCATGTGGCTGACTAAAATAGTTATCCTTTATCTCTATGGGTTGATCTGTGAAGATCTTCACCTCTGGTCTTCCATCCCTGGGCTAGAACAAGGAAGAAAGTTATATGAATGCAGAGTTCCTTGATGCGATTAAACATTTTTGATAGATATAATTTATCACTTATAATTATTTTGATTTTGTAAAGGATAACTTAAGACTACCTAAATTGAAAAAAAATTAAAACCAGTGACCTTGACCTGAGATGTGACCTTCAGACAAGACCATTGAGCAACTTAGACAGAACCTAAACCTTCCCATCAAACACTTAACAAAAATTCCCTCCCTTTACTTATTCCAGTACATGTACATACAGCAATGCCTAGTCCCGGGTCATCAATGATACAGAAGTCCTCTTCCTCCTCATCACTGAAGATATCAGTCCTCTCTGACACAGCGCTACTGGTCACTGACTCAGCATTGGCTGTTATCACAATCGGTCGCATCACACCTGCCGGGGGAACCTCTGTATCGGTCATATCTCCAGGGGGAACAAAGAACACCTGGGTTTTGTTTGGACTTTGTTTAGAGTTTTCAGATCCATCTGAAAGAGAAATAAAATGAATATGATGAGTCAGTATTAATGCATATACTGGTAATAATTACTATGCATTTTACAAACTTCATATAAAAGAAGTTTTCTGTTTATAGGCAATAAAACGTTATAATGCTTTTCAAAAGGTGCAATTAAACTTTTCTCAAAATATTTTTTAGATCCAGAAATATATATCCTAATATACATATAGCTTTGGAATTTCTGATCCATATCAGAGGCACAAAGTTCCATTGTCTGAGTAAGATGAATGATCAGAACAAGATAAGACTTACCATTATCTGATCCAGATCCAGATTCCTGCATGGCCTCTTCCAGATGACTGGATAGATTCTCCAGTCTGGATTCACTCAGATCCTTTTTCTTGGATTCTTCCTCACCAACAGACTAAAAAATCACAACATGACACTAATACATGCATTAAATTCTTGATGTTAAGAATTAACACACAGTATTTCTTTAATCTCTCATTAAGAAATAGTTTTATGATTCCAATATTTTTTTTAAACAGTGATACAGCAGTCATCATACCCCTCTTCATCATCAATCCATTACTTTTTTAGTCATTTAAGCTGACCTTTTATTCCATACAAACAAGTGAAATGAAGCTTTACCTCTTCTTGTGTCATCATCTCCAGATCCAGGCTTTGTTGCTTTACGTCTGTCTCTTCATACTCCTTCAGGTCACCATCACCGGCAAAGTATCGGATCAATTCAAACAAGGCCTTACAGGAATCAGAGCAGGTCCTCAGGTTGATCCTGTTCGTCCTGAGTCGGAGGTCCGTCTTAGGAAATCTCTTGTCTTTACCATCACTGCTCCTCAACTCCAGCTCAAAACTCTCAACATCCAACACACACACATAATCTAAATATGCATCATAATTTATCAATTTCAATTGAGATTTTTTTTCATAATATTAAGTTACAATGAAATATTTCAGTGAAACAATAAAAGACATAATGAACACTCTGAATCTCTGTAGAAATACATTACAGTCAAATCTCATTATCTCAAACTCGGTGGGGCTGAGAAAAATCTTCACAATATCTGAGGATTCATGATATCATGATTAAAATACATAATGAAAAAGTGGCTGGGCCTTCCACTCAATTTGAAATATCCATCATATTTGAGATACTGGTGTTTTGAATACCAAAGTTTAACTATGTTATATTTCATTGAACGTATATCTCATAAATGTCTATAGAGGCATACCACCACTTCATATTCTTCAGTAAATTCAGTTTTCTAAATAGGAAGAAATAAAGTTGGTTTATAGTCAAAGCTGTACTGTAAACAGGGTTATTTTCTCTTCGTGTTATTTTCCTTGCAAACAAGTTTTGCCCCAATTTAATTGCCCAGACAAGGTTGTGTTGAAGAGATAGTATTTTTTTTTAATTCGTTTCTTTTTTGAATTCACCCTTTTTTAAATTTGCCCACCTGCAACAAGGGCAAAAGGGGCAAAAATAAAACTGGCTGAAAATTTCCCTTTGTACAGGATGTCCTTGATTTTCTGTATTATATATACCTTTCTTAAGGTTAACAGCAGTGTCTCTTCCTTTCTTCTGAGACAAATACATCCCAGCATCCTCCAACACAAACCTGCAAATATCACAAAGGTAAAAAAGTAAAAAATAAGAATATGTACATGATATAAAAGGCATCTACATATATAGATAATTTTTAATGTGTCTATATATAATTCATTTTGAAAACACAAATTGTAACGTTATCTACATATGTAACAAAACATTACCTAAGAAGTGAAGTTTGTGAGTTGGCCACTATATTACTGGAAATACTGAAGTAGTTAGCTGTCACAACTCCTCTGGTGGGTAAATGTAGTGGTCTGAAATGAAATTAAAAATTAACACCATTTCCTGTAACCTCTTCTAAGTAATGACACACAGTTATCTACCTCAAAATGATTGATATTTTCAAACTCTGATTTGATTTTAGGAGTAAATCTAAATAAAATATTTACGACATACATTCACATGTGCATGTAAACATTTCTCTATATTTTTCCAATTACTAATCAACACTATGTGTGTTTGGGAGGGGGGGGGGGGGGGGATAAAATTTTGTTTGGAAATAAGTGTTTACCTGTAGTCTACAGCACAATCCCAGAGATGGATGTGCAGCTCTGTCAGAACCTTGGGAGTGACATAACCCAGGATATCATAGTCCTTAACATCTAAGAAATCCATCATCTGTAATATACATGTAAGTGCAGCATGAGCTGAGAAAGTTTCACAATTATGATACATTTTCACCAGTTGATACGAAAATTTAATCATTTGAACAGTGTTAAATTCACTGTCATAGTAAATGTAGTAGATACATGTACATGTATTTAATTCCTCGTTCTTTTGTCTGAAACTACATACTGAACTGTGAAGCAATGCATTATATTTTAAATTAACAACTGTACAATAACGTGTAAATCCCAGAAATATAAAGTACATTTTCATGCACAATTCTAGATGAACAAGATCAGTAAACAGAATCCTTGTAACAAATCAAAGCCAGCTTCTCTCTGACCTGTGAAATCCAACTCATGTCTGTGTCAGCCATCTTGTGTCTCAGTGTAGCTCCTGTTACCCCTACAGCGACTGTGAATTCCTAAAACAAGAACGGAAATTGTAATGAAAATAATGTATACTGCTCTAACTGTAAAGCCTTTTTTCTTGTGAATCAAGGTTCCTACTTTTGTGCATATTTTGCATACTAAAATTTAAAGAGCTTACAGAATGATGCACATATTTAGATTACAATACAGATGTCATTTCATGTAACACATTCCAATTTTTCTTGTTTTCCCAAGAATAAGAGTAGCAGTACTGAAATCTGACTGACCCATTTTTTGTTGCCAGTCACAAAATCATCCTGCCATTAAACCTGCTCCTTCAAAAACCTCTCAACATACTGATAACATTTACACTAATGAAGAATGCTTCTGACCTTGATTTTCTCGTCCCGGGTCAGGTCACTGAGGGGTGTGGAGTCCAGCTTTATTTTGACTGCAACTGAGACCATGTCCCTGACCTCTGACTCTATATCCCCTGTCTGGTGACACTGTATACCAGGCTCAGATCTGTATATAATACAACAGTTCTCCAAGTGGGCAGGAATTGTCTCAAAGTCTAAGTTTCTTACTTCAAATTCTTCCTTTTTATCTGGTACAGCAGCTAAAAACATAAAATTTTATGTTTTATGACCTAGTTTAGATTTGCTTGATTTCAAGTCATGGTGAAACACATGTTTTTAATTCAAATCAATTATCAAAATTTATCAACTGCATTATGTATATTTTTTGACAAATATCATATTGCACAATAAATATATAAGAATTTTTATTGACTAATCATTATTTAGTGTTTCACAGAACTTAATGCTTATATCTATATATAAGGTTTTATACATAATAGCTAGGTTCAAAATGTACCATAGGAAAAATTCTGAAACTTAAATCTTTACAATGAATGTTGAATTACATACCATTATGATACAGTGTAGCCTTGTTACAGTAAAAACAAACATATTGAAGAAGTGGATTTCCTTGGTAACTAGATGCAACAAACAGATTGGCATCCTTGACGAGGCCCATAACTTCACCATGAGACTCCTCCACCTGTAAAATTCAACAACAAAAATTATATATAAATTGCCTCAATTCAACCTGTTCAAATGTTTGTAATAATAAATAGGAAAGGAAAAGTTTTCTACCAATTTAAAACCCAGTGATAGACCAAAACATCACTATTAAAAAAGATCACAATTATTACACTGTAATAATACATGCTACATGCATAATGTATATCATAAGTCCACCTAATAAATGCCTTTTTTCTATACCTACCTTAGAATCAGTATGTGCAGTTATTTTCCCTTTGTCTATTTTAAGTGAAAGACACAATTTACTGGGCCGAGACTTCTGGTCCCCCGTCCGGCGAGGATGCCTGCTGTCATGGATACTATAGTAACCAAAGCTACTGTCCTCCTCCTCTTCTGAAGAGTCTAAAGAAAACACAAATATTATCCTGTACATTGTTTTATTTTCAGATAAATGATGTGTGCTGAATGTACCATAAAAAAATAATTTCTTGAAAAATTAATTTTTTTTTTAAAATTTGATCAACAACAGAAATTACTTATCATGCAATATTTAATAATTCTTCATCAAAAGACCCCAAATTTCTTGATGAAGATGGAACCTGATCCACAGTATAATGACTGTACTGCAAATTCTGGCACTAATAGACATTGTGAACTATAATTGCTTATCAATGTAAAATTATTACTTTTCCTTTGTAAGATAAATCCATTGATTTGTCTCACCATATTGTATGGCTGATTTTGCCAGGGAGAAGTTCTCCTGTAGCACCTGCGTGTAACAACTAAGGTCAAAAGGTTGTATAGATCCAGGACCCTGATCCTGTGTATGGATTGGAGATGGAGCCATTGGTTCCCATAGCAACAAGTCATTGTTTAACCTGCATCAGATTGTAAACATAGAGTGTTATAGACGGCATACATTGAAATGCATTTGTAAGAATCTGCTTAGAGTTGCAACTTACTACATTGTATACCGATAGTCATATTTTCTTACCACTTTTCAAAATAAAAGAAAATTACCTGGCTATTATTTCTTATTAAGTTTGTTATGAATTGTCCACAGAAATATATAGGTTGATCTCATAGATGTCAAGAGAAAGAAGAAGGGGGATGGGGGTTTATTTTTGTTAAACCATTATTCCACAGTTCTTCAACCAGGAATACAAATCCCCATGAACCAATATCTTTTCCTTAAACCCCGAAAATATGACCCCATGAAAATAAGTGATTTTAAGTGTAAAAATATCATAGCTCAAAAGTACTTATACATTTACCTATTATACAAAACTTCAAAGAACTTCTGGTCTGGAATGTACAGATTGACGAGGGGTAAAATTAACTGGACTAGAGTCAGACAACTCGCAGAGGCTCTCTCCTGGAAGTCAGTCATATCATCTCTACTGCCAGGCATAACCATCTGAAAGCAAGTTACAATGAGAGAAAAATCAAATATGAGAAGATGGACGAATACTGAACAAAATCAAATTACAAACTGTAGGACAAGAAAAAAATCTGGAAGAAATAGGGGAAATCAATGTGTCCCCATTGAGAATGGAGGAATATGCCATATGTAGAAAACAGATATAAACAAAGTTGGAAGTGTAATTGAAAATAGAAGAAATTCATAGAAAAGAGACTTTAGAATGTATGGTGAAAACGGACTATATGCAATCATGACATATGCATGAACCTGTCCCAATAAATATCAAATTTTTTAATACAATACAGTATATGCACAATCTGATATTGTAAAAAAGTGTAGGATCAATAATGACTATATCTGGTATACCTTATTTCTAATGGGTAATTATCTGGGACATGTATAACTGCCCAAGTAATAATCAAATTCTGATACAGTCAAAATGTATTACTTAGCAGCTATTGTAACATTAGTAAGGACATATCTTGGAAAATATATGCATGATACAGGTATATGTAAGGTATGTAACAACTGAAATGGCCTACTTTTTGTGTCTCTGTTATTTCAGAAAGTGTAGGTATTTCCCAAAATGTCTAAAATGTGAATAAATGAAAACCATAACATTTTATCAGTCTAGGGCCTAGAAATCAAAGAGAAGAAGATTTCTATATTTTTTTTTCACATCACATATTTTATTCATTTACATTTTATAAAGCATTGGCATCTGGAAAATGTGTACATAATTTTCTTCTGAATCAAGAAATGGTTTTATGAAACACTAAACTTTATGTTTAAAATCAGTAATCTATTTATTGATCCAACATGTATATCAAATAAGGATGAAGAATTTAATTAAAACAGTACTTTACTGGTACCAGTCTACAGAACTTTCCCCATTAAATAAAAATTGCCATGCTTGCAGTCATATAGTTCTTTAATAAACACTTTTTAGAGAATGCTTGAAGATAATTGCTTAGCATTTCAGTCATTTTTTATTTTCATTTCCAACATTTATTTTTGAAATGTACGGAAATTTTTGTGGCACTTCTCCAGCAATTATCAAAGAGGCCCTATACACAAAATCCATCCCACACATCGATATATACATGTACTAAAGATCACAAGTTTACAGTAGTAAAACTTGAAATTGTTGACAGTTTACAGTGCAGCTCTTACCTCATCACTGACATGTTGTGTGGCCTGATCTGACATCTCACCCTTCCCATACATGTGTTTCTTTGTGGAAAAGGGGGAGGTGTCTTGTTTGCCGAATTCACAAGCACCGTTAAGTGAGTCTAATGGAATACTGTTGTCCGAGTCAGGGGTTTCTTCGTCAAGTACTGAGATGGTCTGCTCTGTGAATTTTATAATTATTCTGAAAAATGAAAGAGATGAAATTTGATATCAAGGATTTGAATACAAATCAATGAAACCATATTTTCATTTTTAAGTCATATCAAAAATTTGAACTGTCAATAAATGTTCATGTATCAATTTGAATTTTAGATGAAAAACAGTATGAGCAAATTTTGCCAGAGAGTATAAAAGCTTCAGCTAAAACTTACTGAGGGAAGTTAAACCCCTCCTGACCATCATTTCCTTCACAGCTAACAAAGGCAAAGGGAATGGCACTCTGGTTTGGATCTATTCTGAAAGATCCTGTTAACAAAGAGAAAATATCTTGACAAAAATTACCTTTAACTCATAATTCTACGCTTTATAATACAATGTACAACAATTTTTCACGCACAAAAAAAATAATAAAATGTGACGATAAAGCTAAGTTTTAAAGCTTGTATCAATGCTGCATATAAATTAATTGGAAAAATGTGTAATATGTGTATATATATGTATATAAAAATCACACAACAGGTAGTGTCTGCATTCTCCATTTCTGTGTATGTTCAATTACAGACCACTTGAAAGAGATCAAGCAATAAGAAGACAATGCCAGTTTCCTGCCTCACCTAAAACTGTTTTGCTGGAGACCTCCATCTGTTTAATGGGCTGATTGGAGACACATGACATCTGAAATCGAGCCTCTTCCAAGTCCAAGATCAGTAACTCATCCCTCAGATTCTTCTGCCACCATGGGAGCTTAGTAACCTCTGACCCATTTCTCAAGTCTGGGATTGGGAACCTGTCAATAACAACGAGAACCAGTTAACAAGACTATCACAATCATAATGTAGTGGGAAAAAAACAACAACAAAATCTCAAGGAAATGAATAGAACATTAACACTATTCAATTTTTTTTTGGTTAAGAATTACATATACTAGCTAAATATTATGCAAGTTCCCCTACTTGTAAAACAAATTTCTACCTATTTATCGCTTGAATGCTAAAATTTATTCACACTCAAAAAATATTGCCCACCTGATTGTGAGTTTAGCCTCTGGACAGGTAATAGTTAGATCTATTTTTGTCTCGTCTGTAGCACACTCATCCTCCAAGGTTTGGGAGAAGCTGTATGCAGGACCCTACAGCATATTCAGTTCAAATCAATTAGTGCTTCTCAACTATTTACAAAGAGAACAGCTTTCTGCCAGGAACCATATCAAATGACTATATTTGATCCAAAGAATGGATAATAAAACTTTGTATTACTACATCTTAAGTAAATCTTGAAACAAAATGTAATCATTCACAATGCATAATCAAAGTTTATTACAGTTTTTATTGTTATTTCATTTTATGATGTTGCAATGCTCAATTCTCTTCCCTGTAAAGCTGTATCGTTGACTCATTCCAACTTACCCCTTGTAAGGCTGTAGTACAATTGCCCCGAGTTATTTCTGTTGAGGCAGTAAAGTTGACTGATTCTAACTTACCCCCTATGAGGCTGTAGAGTGACTGCTACTGATTAAGCCCCTGTGACTGTGTATAGCTGACTGATTCTAACTTACCTCCTATGAGGCTGTAGAGTGACTGCTACTGATTAAGCCCCTGTGATGTGTGTAGCTGACTGATTCTAACTTACCCCCTATGAGGCTGTAGAGTGACTGCTACTGATTAAGCCCCTGTGACTGTGTGTAGCTGACTGATTCTAACTTACCTCCTATGAGGCTGTAGAGTGACTGCTACTGATTAAGCCCCTGTGATGTGTGTAGCTGACTGATTCTAACTTACCCCCTATGAGGCTGTAGAGTGACTGCTACTGATTAAGCCCCTGTGACTGTGTGTAGCTGACTGATTCTAACTTACCTCCTATGAGGCTGTAGAGTGACTGCTACTGATTAAGCCCCTGTGACTGTGTGTAGCTGACTGATTCTAACTTACCCCCTATGAGGCTGTAGAGTGACTGCTACTGATTAAGCCCCTGTGACTGTGTATAGCTGGTTGATTCTAACTTACCCTCTGTGATGCTATATAGCTGATTGATTTTAACTTACCCTTTGTATGGCTGTACAGTTGTTTGATTCTAACATATTCCTTGTGGGGTTGTATAGTTGATGGATTCTAACTTACCCTTTGTGAGGCTGTACAGTTGTTTGATTCTAACATATTCCTAGTGGGTCTGTATAGTTGATGGATTCTGGTTTACCTCCTGAGAGGCTGTATTGCTGACTGATTCTTACTCCCTATGAGCCTCTGTAGTTGATTGATTCTAACTTACTCCCTGTGGCGTGCATAGTTGATTGATTCTTACTTAAAACTCCAAGTGAGGTTGTATACTTTGCCAAATCTAACTTACCCCTTGTGATGCTGTATAGTTGACTGATAGTTGATAGTTGAGGCTGTTTAGTTGACTGATTATGACTTACTCCCAGTGAGGCTGTACAGTTGACTGATTCTAACTTACTCCTATGAGGCTGTACAGTTGATGGATTCTGACTTACCCCTTGTAAAGATGTTTAGCTGACTGTTTTAACTAAACCCCTATTAAGCTGTATGACTAACTGATTTTTGACTTACCCCTGAGGCTGTGTAATTGACTGATTTTGACTTACCCCTTGTGAGGCGGTATTGTTTGTGTTGTAAGGCCGGTGGGAAGAGGGTTTAATCAGAGTGTTTATTCTGTCTATAATTGTCACGTCCACCTCACATTCTAGTCTGGCCAAGCTGACAGAGATCTCTGTTCTAGGTCCAGTTCCTGTCCTTTGAGACCTCTGAAATAAGATCTTTTTTTTTAAATATTTCTAAAACATAAACCATTCTATTTTTAATAAAATCATACCCTTCATTATTAACATTTAAATGATATTCAAAACAAAATATCTTATATATATATTGTACTTCAATATAACTCAGCTTAAGAATCTTTAAATCAAGAATATCATGTATGAGAAAATCTTGACTTTATTATATGTCACAATGATTCCATTTTATCTGTCTTGATTTTTTTTTTTATCATTCTAATATTTTTTATTAACCTGATTTTTTCACCCAATCATACTGATATAATTTGTGTTTGAAATATACGGGTAAAAAATCAACAAATATTCTGTTGAAATTTTGTGGTTACCGAGTTCTGTTGCACTGATCTGATGTGAGCTTTAAGTGCAGGTGCCCCAGAGTGCATACTGCTATATAACTGTCCAGGCCTTGAGGAGACATCACGAGGGAAAACCAAAATCTACAAATAAAATTCAACTAAAAATCTGTATATCCTGGTGATTTACAACTGTCAGATCACATACATTACAAGGTGACATCAGAAAGTATTAACTTTCACTTTCAATAATAAGTGCAAGTTTCTGTAAGGAAAAATATTGACTGTCTTAATCGTGTACTGTGGTTTGTAAGATTTTGACAGTTTTAGTGTACTTTCTTGGGACTCACAGCATGTTTTCATTTCATAAAAATTGAACTAGCTTGGGGTATTTATAACAAATGCAGTTAATACATGTACCAGATTTATGCTGGTTTCCTTTTGCCAATGAATATATAATAATACCGGGTACACATTTCTAAACAATTTTTTTTTTCAACCTGTTTTGAATTTATTTGTCTTTTTTTTTATTATCCATGATATACATACATGTACAATGTATATGCATATTTTTTTCCTCTGAACTGTTTTTTTTCCCCCACTATTATTGCAAATCCATCAATTTAGGCTGTATACAGTATAACCCAGCCTACACTACCTTCAGTCTTTATAATACTGATATTTCTCAGCATCTGAACAATTCTCATTATCTTACCTATATTAATTTTTTTATTTATCAATTAAAGATACATGTATATAAAACATTGATAATTATATTTTAAAGTAGTTCCTAGACTTTCCTAATTTTCCTGTATCTGGAGTATTTGCTGGGACAGTATGCCATCCTACCAGCATTTATTTACTATTTGGGAAATTCCCATCATTGGCACACTTTTTTCTCAGCAAATCCTTGAAAACATGGGCATACATGTAATTAAAGGCATTAATTGCGAAAAATAATTTAATTTAATCTATTTGTCGCTACACAGATTCCAACACTTGGTAAAACTTCTAATGATGCAGAAAACCTGCTTAACCAATGGTTAGATATGGTAAGATTTGATTAGAAAAAATGGTAACTTTGGAATTTTAGGATTTGATTTGAAAATATGGTAGGATTTAATTGATTTTCACTTTTTAGTGTGTTTATACTTTACTTATTTACTCATATTCTAACTTGATCGTTTAAATCCCAGAATGCTTCAGGGCTGGCAGGTATGAACTTTTATAAAACTTTAGTTGGAAGTCAACAACCTGACATCACATTTTGTTAATAGAGGCCCCTCCAGACCACAGAGTAAACACTGAGATTATACTGTTATAAATCTGCACAATCTATGTAAAGACATTTTCATATTCCTCTGTCTACCTCATATCATGTGTTCTATTTCATTTTCTGTGTCAAGATTGAATTTAAAATGAATATGAATACAGTTGAACTTTGGTATCTCAAACATCCATATCTCAAATACCATGGATATGTTGATTTGAAATTCCCCACCACTTATTCTTTATAATATTTTACACTCAATATCTCAAATTTGTGGACATCTCGAAGTTTTTCTTTGGATTTGAGTTTGAGATAATGAGGTTTGACCGTGTATAATCACTGAATAAATCTAAAGACTGTCTCAGGCACTCGTGAGGATTTCCAAGATTTGACTTTCCTTCATTACCTATTACAGGTATAACTAACATCACAGTCATTACATACAGGTGACCAAGAATAAGGATAATGCCAAGTTAACTTCAAAAATAGCTTCAGAAGACATGATGGCACATAATTACCCGGTAATCATCCCAAAAATAGAAAAAATAAAATAAAACAATATAGCCCAGTCCAAGGGTGTTAAATGTAATAGGGCTTGGATCAAGGATATATGGTTTGAATTCAACTTTTATAAACAAGTTTAGATAGCCTTTTCTGTGTTCATGTATCTAATATATGTCCTTTGTGTATATCTCAGTAAGGTACGGCAATTCAGGAAATAGATACTTCGTAAGTAAGTATCTGAATTGTGCCAAAAGCCACACGTACATCATCCCAGTAAATCACCACATTTATTTTATGTCACCTTAACTTACATTGTGACAAAATCAAGTGTTGGGAAGATGATTCATGGTAAATTGAGTGAAATCAAAGCCTTTTATGAAAAGCGGAAAGTATCAAGTAAACCAATCAAGGATGTATAGCACAAATTAATAAAGAGTTATAAACAATACAAAAGAGAAGCCTTATCATTATCATCAGATAGTCTGTTTTCCAGGAAGTTGAGTTCTCATGAGGCATTATCTCAATTTTGCATCATTGAACCAAGATCATTGTTAAAAATATTTCATCGAATATGCCTGAAATGTATTGCGGACTATGACAGTCTTATGGATACTTGTCCAAATTTCCATCAGATTTTTCAGTAATGACCACTTCATTGGTCCATGGTGGCTCGACAAATTTTTATTTACCTTTGTGGAGCCAGGTAAGTTCACCTGTATTTGTGAAATTCTTTAACTGATATCATGCAGTTATATTGATCGTGGTCACTCAGGTATGACCGCAATCAGCCATGTTTATTACGTAGGCAGGTATTTCTGAGTCAGACATTTATTTTGGTTTATCTCTTAAACAGGTGTGTTTTTGTTCACACACTTTCAAACTTTATTGAAAAAAAATTACAATCCTTTTTTTGAGTCAAAATGATTCACAAACTGAAGAAACAAGGGAAAAATCAGTGAAATTGTAAAGTTTGGAAGCTAAAATTTGTGCATAAAGTGGTTAAACTGGAATTTCTCGACAATACACCTTAGAGGATGACAATACAACACAGGTAAGTCTGATATAAATAACCTTCAGGACATGGTACATGCGTAAACAACAATTAGGCCAAAATATCAATTAGTCAATAATAATACATTGGAAAATAGCCATTAATACAAGACATTAATACTGACACATTTTTTACATTTTCACCATTAAATTTGATTTGGATTCCTTCAATTGGGAGATTTTACAGAATGTATAGCTATAAAAGTATTAATACAAGATGTCTGCTTCTTGTCAACTTCTACTGTCTATGACATTTTGTAATATGTTTTCTCAAGCTTATCTAAATTCTTCAACCAAGAACTAAAATCTTTTTTTTTTAACAAACATAAATGCTTGGAAGTCGAATTTATCAATGGTACTTCTTCAAACAAGTCTGTATTATTAATACTGAACTGAATACATTGCAATTTCAAATAGTTAAGACTTTCATATCCTTGAACATTCTTTAAATGTCTGTAGATGTAGAATTAGTTAAATAGGTGACTGTATATCAATACAATCTGGGTGTGGATATGTCCCATTTATTAAAAGTACTGTCACTGAAGGTAAACAAGTGCAAGCTTGTATTGTAAACAATCTTTGTATCAGTTTACTGAAAGAAAATTCTCTAAGTACTTTTGCACCTAAACAATCCTTAATCCCAACAGACAACATTATGTTAATACCAGCACCTCATATGCAATAAGACAAATTTGAAGACAAAGCTACAGTATTGTCTTTTGTGTCATTTCAATATGCAACACATGTCATTTCACTAGTAAATGTACAAGACTCTGCTTTCTATCAGTGCAATATTTAACATTGAAAATAATGGAATTTGTAAGACTGTTACACACAATGTAGATATTAATTGCTAACCATCCAATCTGGAGATTCAGTGTTAATTAGTCATCAGGTAATTGAGTGACTGTCAATAAAGTTGTAAGTGACAAACTGTTCTAAGCTGAAGTGACACCAGAAATGAAGTCAGGGAGTAATTAAAAAGTTCAGAAAGAAAACACAGTATGTAATAACTTACAATCGGGTCCCTGACAATAAGTAGTCTTATGAGCACAAATTAACACCTAGTGAATTAAATGAATGATGCTTATTACATGTATAACAAATAAGAGACAACTCAATCACAAAAGAATGTCATAAATCTCTCTTATCCTTAATTCCTTAGTGCTAATTTTGCTAGTAACTTAATTAAGTCACTGAATTACATTAACATTGGAATGTTTGAAGGAGAAATGAGGTCAGAAAATAATGACCTACACCCCAGTTACCTGTACAGGTATGATATAATTAGATAGGTGTCTGACATCTTCTGTGCAATATGTCTGTAGGAAATACAAGTCGAACAACTTAATAAGGTGTCAATTATTTCGCCACATTTAATTTGTGTTTCAGATGAATGATAAATTACAAGAAAAATATTGTTCATTCTCTCTCTCTTTCTCTCTTTCATCTTTAAATGATTAAAAAGTCATCATTTGCAATTATTTAACTCAGATATAATTTTTACAGGATGAACAGTGCTTTGGTGGTTTCAATTCTTCTGCTGCAAGTTGGATTCACCCTGTCATGTCCCACAACAAGCTGCACTTGTGAAACCGTGTCTTCATCAACTAAACGAGTTATCAGATGTCGTGATCTTAATGCCATACCAACTTTTAGCCCATCTGCAGAACTATTCCTGAAACTGGATCTAGATTCTGCAAGTAATAACATACAAGTGCTTCAAGCCAATGCGTTTCAGGGAATTCGTTTAGAGGAAATTGATCTAACTGGTGAAAAGAATCAATTACAGAGTATTCATCCATTGGCTTTTTCTGGATTACAACAAGATCTGAAAACCATCAGACTGCGTGGAGATTCGGTATTGCCACCCCCCTTCAGCCAAATGCAAAACTTGACCAACCTCCAGGAACTTCATCTGAAAAATTTCAATATGCCAAGAATTGAACGCAGTTCTCCATTTCATTATTTTCCTAATCTCCTCACACTGCGGTTGAGAGAAATGCAGACAACTTTTGTGTCTGCTGAATCCTTCATGGATCAGTTAGAAATGTTAAAACGCTTTGAATTTGCAAACAATAATGTCCCAACTTTTCCAAAACCTGCAATTAATAGGCTGCGCACTTTGGAACATCTCTCATGGCTACATAATGAAATGGAAACCATCCCAAATGGAATATTCAGCTCTCTCAGCAATCTTATTGAACTGGACTTGAGAGGAAACCAGATTGCCTCATTAGATTATGGGTGTTTCAATGGAATAACAGAAAAACTGGAGTTTTTGGGTCTCCAAATAAATAAACTAAATGAACACAGCATCCTGCCACTGGGTAATCATACATGGCCCAAGCTAGAACAGCTTAGTCTAGGTCATATGCAAATAGACTTTCAAGACATTCCTTCTGGATTATTCAAAAACATGCCAAAACTGGCTAACCTAATGATGCCTGGCAATAAATTAAAAGAGATAAAAAGCAATGATTTTGAAGGTCTTAGAAGTATGCACTCTCTGGACTTGTCTGAAAATTATATAAAAACTATTCAAAAAGGTGCACTTGCTCACATGCCACTTCTCGACACTCTTGATTTACGGGCCCAGTATGATGTAAGTGCCAGCAACCCCCTTAACTTCAGCTTGGACATCTTCCAGGGGACAGAACTTGCTTTGAAGACTCTTTATATACAGGATAACCATCTGATAGAACAACATGCTTGGGACGCTATTGGAGCCATGAAGAATCTGAGAAACCTTGACATTTCCAAAACAAAGCTGTCCAATATTCCGTCTTTAGTTTTCTACAGCCATAATCAACTTGGGAGCCTTAAAATGCAAAGTAACGATCTCTCAGTGCTAAGACAAGAGTCTCTGTATGGACTTAAAGATTCTCTGGAAAGCATAGATATTGCTTTCAACAAAATAAATGTAATAGATGAATGTGTATTTGAAGGATTTAGCAAACTGATGTTTCTTTTTGCATTAGGAAATTCTCTTGCCTGTAACTGTAATCTCTATGGTTTGTACCAGCATCTCAAAATAATAAATTCAACTGGAGGATACACACAAGTACCTTGTAGTTCTCCACCAAATTTAGCTACCAAGGAGCTGCTTGATTTACCGACATCTGATTTTTGCACCAATTTGCCTACATTAGCCACATGTCCGGAGTTCACAACGACAACAGTTCCACCCAGTACTACAACTATAACAACAACATCCATCCCTGTGCCAGACATCCAGTTAGTAATATCAAATGTGAATGAAAAGACAATAGTCATCTCCTGGACTGTCGTTGGTGACATGACATACCTGAAAAATTTCAGGGTGCAGTACAAACAGCTAGGAGTGGACAATCCAGAGATCAAAACTTTCCCAATAGACATATCAAAACGAGATCATCCAATATCTGGACTTTTACCTGCATCCAGGTATCAAATATGTTTCTATATTGATCTGACTGATTCCACTACACAAAAGTTAATAGGATGTCTGACACAACAGACAAAACCAGAAGTTCCTACAGTGGCAACAACAGCAGCTAACACTGGTTCAGATAACACTGGTACCATTGTTGGGGGTGTGCTGGGAGGGTTTTTGTTAATTGCCCTTGTTGTTTTAGTCTTTGTACTCTACATTATCTGGCAAAGGCGGAACAAAGAAAAACAGAAACCACCTCCACTTCCACCAGCTACTGGGAATGTTATGCCCATTGCAATGAATCAACACCGTCCAACAAGTCAACCCAAAGTGTACATCAGAAAAGCAAATGGTGAATTAGAGGTAATGACTATTTCCAATGGAGTTAATGATAGTTCTCGTTTTTCTGCTGGAAGTTACCAAAATGTTGACCTTAATGCTGTTAGCAATGACCCCTATCCAACCAAAGGAGCAACAGGGGGTGAGGTAGGTGCAGAAAGAAGGGAACCCTCCAAGCAACAGCATGTAAAGCTACCTCCTGAAAATAAGCCAAATGGAACTTTCCAGGAAAAACCCCGTTACACTCAAATGCCAGGAGCCCCTTCACTGCCAAATACCCACTACATCAATGAAGTCAACAGAATGGCAGAGCGTGACCACTATTCAAATGGTGTAGAAACGCGACCGTTACCACAGACCCCTAATAGTCAGTCAATATCGACTATTTCTGGAGGGGGGTTCTTAAATCATGGATTTTCATCAAGTCCAACAGAAACTGTATATAATGAAATTGACCATAATAATACAGGAACAGTTGTGTGATGTAGAATAAAAAGGAAAACATAAGTGAGACCTTGATCTATCAGTGGACCGCACAATGCAAAATTCAAGTGTCCATGGTAACAGGAAAACTAATTCTACAAGCTTTCAAAAATTTGAAGAATCATAATGGTTACCATGATTTCGGTTGGATACTTCCCATTAATTGTGCTGACTCAAAGTGATATACTGATATAAGAAATTAATCCTGTCAAATATCTTCTATACTAAATAGAAATGAATGACAGAAGCTGCTGTATGCCATTTATGACCTGAGAATGAGAAAGGCAAACACTTGATACAATATACTCTGTGTGTCTTTCGTATTACTAGGACTTTAACTAGAATCTATGTTTTAACATTATTTTAGTTCCTCCATTTAAACAGATTTTTATTCCACAGGCACTAAACATATCAACTTGCTGGGTTTTTTTTTTAAATTAATTTCAAAGTGTATTTTAAAGTCATTTAAAACTTTAAAGGTTTCTTGCATTTAAACAGAACTGTTGCTTTAAGTTTTACCTTTAACTTATGAACTGATAGCATAATAATGTGTAACCAAAACTGTACTCTATATTGACATGAACCTTTTATCTTTGCAAGAGGAGGATTTTAAAAACCAAATATAGTCATAACCACACATGGATTTTTCATTTTTTTTTTTTTTTACATAAATGAGCTTTGTTTTTTATGAATATCACTGTATATTGTTATTCAATAATTTTTTTAATTACCATTAATTATTAGATTTAATAAGTGCTATATATTACTGTTTTATTTAGTAGTCAGTTATGAATATATGATGGATATTGATACAGTGGCTTCCATTTTATCGGATAGCGGTTTAACGAATATTTCGGCTATTTCAATATAATATCAGAGCACAAAACCATTTCTTATATATTTATTAATAATTTCACCTGATATTCTGATGAGAAAATATTGGACTTTCGTTTTATCCGATACAAAAATTTTGACTATCATAGTGTTTTTTGATAATCAGCACTTTGTTCACACCTCCAACTTCGTATGTGAAGCCTTTGTTTACACAGTTTGACACCAATTACCTTGACTGGCTTGAGTACGACAATGAAGGGGATTAGTTACGGCTGGACGCACACAGGCACCTTACCTGTGTCAATAGTGGGCATAGTAAATAGATATGTTTTGATTACAGTTGTGGTGATCAGCTTGGGTTCAATGATGCACTTGTTAATTATGACAATTATTTGTAATTTTTTCAGCGTGAAATTTTAATTATTGAACTGATTAGCTTGTGTATGACAATTTGCTTGGATAATGAAATAAGCCTATTCAATCGTTTAACTTGGTCAATTGGCTTAATATTTATTCATTTTTCAGTGCAAAATTTATGGTAAAAATCACAAATGGCCCATTCTATAAAAATACGTCTCAAAATTCATACCATCTATCTCCACATGGCTCTCAAAATCTCTCTTCAGCAGACAAGAACGAGACTGGTAAACTCACACACAGTATAAAATACGTAACGGTATTAAAGAAACAAATAAAAACAACAATTATATATATTTAATATTTTTGTTTATTTTTAATTTACACTCTATCCAGGGAAAAATAGTTTACGGTTATTAGTCAAGCATTTAGTCTACTTCCGTTTCCAAAATGGCGACCATCGAAGAAGGAATGTAAACATGTGCTGAAGAAAGATGGCAATAACTATCAAAGAATATATTCTATACGTCAATTTATTTGAAAAAAAATTTCATATTAAATTCATAAGTAAGTGAAATAAATTATTTTTAGTAAAGTCATTAAGTAAACATGTCAAAAGAAAAACGAAAGTGCAAGCTTGAAATTTGCTACGATGTATTATCAATACATGTAGCTCTATACATCTATCTTTGGACTCGGTATGGAGCAATCGGCTATTCTAATTTTCGGCTATTCGGATAAAACTAGGCTGACAACTTGACTATTCGATAAAACGGGAACCACTGTACTTCTTTCATATATATCTGCACTACATATATTATATATACATGGAATACAAAAATGAAATACTGTATAACTCTAGTTGTAACATGTCCTTTTATGCACATAATGAAAACAGTTTTCTTCATTCAGCTTTGAAGTAAACGTATCATTAAATTTACTAGCTAGTCTGATTATACAGAACGCATGGCAGAGAAAATGACTACAAATTAATTATACTGATTTGCATCTTCATAAGCTGTTTAATACTCTAATTCATTAATGAGAAAAAAAATTAATCAGATTTCTGAGGATCATTTGTGATGTACTGTATTAGATAAGTTATATAAACAAGATCTGTGGTGCCCTATGTGTACATCAGTATGCTATGTATGATGTGTAAAATAACCCTACTGGATGAGTTGCTTGTAAACATAGGAAGAATTTAAATGGATTTTGTGTTTAGTGTATTTATGCCAGTATATCAACAGAGGATTATCAGAATACTAGGAGTTTGCCAACTGTGACTGCATGAAAGACTTAATAATAAAACTTTCGAAATTGTTGCTATGTACAGCCTTATAAGTCCTGCACATTCTGTTACCAACTATAGTATACATGCATCAAATTTTTTTCATGGTGATACTGTTCTACAGCTTTTTTTTTTAATTAAATATCTTCAATTTTATGTAATGCTTAAAATTAAGTTTGCTATAGCCAAGTATTCATGTTAGACAGGTTCACTTTTAATCAGTTTGACTGTACAAAATATGTACTTTATATTGTTAGTAAGAGATATGTCTATTTGAAGGGAACAAATCAATATGAGATATAAAACTATATTTGTAGATAAAGAAGTATGCATGTACCTGAATGACCATAATGTGTTGTATGTCTGATCTCTTTGTACCCCCCCCCCCCCCAATTCCCAATGTGATAGAAACTTTCTTAATATGCATTCCAAACTGAACTAAAGTCAGTCCATGAAATGAAATTATGCATTCTGTAATTCTATATTTTTATCTACAAATGTTGTTGATTAAAATGTATAAAATTTTATAATTTTTCACTTTTTACAATGCAATTATTGATGATTATATCTTCGTAAGAATGTGCATGGGCATAAAATACATGTATTAAAACATTCAGAGATTAATATATGACAGTTATCTTTTCACTCTACATCTGACATGGTAGTTTGGGGTTATAAATCTTTTAGTTTTTTCTTTTTCTTAAAATAATATAATGATGTCATTGGATAAACCAGCCTTTAGATTACAGCTTTTCTCAGGTATTCTTGTACATTAATACCGTTGTAGCTATACACATATGAAGTCATGCTAGGTCAGAGGTCATGCTAAAATTTACATGATTTATCCCCTAATGACATCTGTCCCAAGATATGCATCATATTTAAATGTGGCCCTAGGGCCAATACGAGAAAAAACGGATCAGCAAGTACAGGGTTCTTCTGTCGAGACCTAGAGTCAGTCTACCTAAGGGACATGGAATTTATTGGGTGACAAATTACCTAGGGTTGGGTAGTCGAAACATAAAAGGTGCTAACTGACCATGTAATGACATTAAGATTTGATGATACACATGTTATTTTACAAGTCGTTAATATGGTCATCTGTCGCTCAGCCAGAATCAAAATAATAACTGTAAACCATTAAGCAAATATCGTAATACACAAATCATCTTGCCTGTCCGATTATCCTTATCTAGGTAGTATTTGGGACACCAGCAAGGGGGATGTAAATATGGCTACTACGCATATTGATAAAGTCCTTTTTACTGGAAAATCCAATGAGTCAACATGTTTACCTTGCTAAAATCAATACAAGGGGTATAAAATCAAACTAAGCTACTGTGTCTAATGAACCTTCTATTCTATAAAAATTATCTTCACAAGTGAAAGTCAAGGTTAAATGAGTCACATTTAGAATATGGGCGTTGCCTATCTTTCTATCCTCATTCAGCATTATATACTTAAACATCGTCCAGCACTTGACCAGATTTTCTTGCTGGCCATTAAATATTCGGATGTCTCTTTAATTCACTCATTAAAAAACCCTCATATTACCTAGAATGCTCCCAACTGAAAAACATCCAATAGAATGCTTTTAAATTGATCCTTTTTAGAACAATTTAAATGACCTTCTGTCATTGAAGAAGAAAATGATCAAATTTCCTTTCAAAAACTTTTTATCACCTATATATATATCCATAATGAAGGTGTTCTTTTTATGCTCTGTTTATGTCAAATATTTCTGCTTACAAAATTTTCACTTTAAAAGCTGCAATTCAATGCACAGATTGAGCAATAGCCTACAGGAACATTGAAAAAGCCTCTGAATCCTCTGTTTGAAGAATTAAACATTAACATTAAAAAGAATTTTGTGTTTCCCTTATCAATCTTTTAATAAGTGTATATTTTATTGATCAGATTTAAAAGACCTTGGTTATTAAAGCTCATTAAATGCAGGAATATTTCAAGAGTTTGGGATGGCAAAAGACAGATTTAAGGATGTCAGTTTATCTTTTATTCCATAATATCACCTACATGTAAATAAACTCACAATTCAAAATACATCTCCGGTAATGGCACAATTGCTTCATTATGATTAATTTGTGCATGATCAAAACAAACTGAAGCTGTATTTTGATATTTATCCACTTAAAAAACAGTTATGAATAGGAAATTAACTGTAACTGTATGTATATCATATGTTGTTCATAAGATTCTCAGCTAAAGATTATCAAATATGTAACAATATGATGAATTTTATGAAAAAGAGTTGAACCATGTAAAGACATTTTACACATGAACGACTCAAACACATCTATCTGTTTTGTGCAGAACATTTTACATGATCTCCATAATGTAGATACAATGGTGCTGACAGATTGAGACAGGCGCCCTCCTAAGACCCAGTGGAATGTTTTTACACCTGAAATCCTCTGGATTTGATTTCGGGGGTAGAATTACACAATTTAAAGGCTGTGACTATCTAAATCTTGATAGAGTTTCCACAACGAGACAACAACCAGACCTGCTGATGGAAGATAGGTATAGGTAACATATGTGTTCAAGCCTTTTCATTTTCATACAGAGTAAAATATTTATGGATCATTTAAAAACTGAAAACGCCTGCTACATGCTATAAACCTTAAAACAAGACAATATTTTTGGATATACATGTACACACATTGTTTAATTTGGTATCAAATTATTCCACAGAAACAATTTCTTAGAATTATGCACAAATTTTGAAAGTATTGAACTAATAAACTTCCCCCTAATATTGTTATATGATTTATACACACCTCAACAGAAAGAGATTGCTGGGGACAGCTCAATGCATATATAAGATTCCAAAAGACTTGGGTTTATAAAAGCTTACTCTGGCATTAGCTTCTTCATGCATTTGCTTAAAAGTTTTAGTTTATAACAAAAATTGGACAGGCATATATTAGGAACAATAAAAAGAAAACACACAGGAAATTTTATCATTATAAATTTTAAGATCCTGTATGCAGTCTGCATGCACATGTCAAGACACAGCCATCAGTCTGCAAGTTGTTATTTAAATGTAATGGAAGATATTCATTGTGTTAATTTTTTTTTTAATTTTCCTTGTATGAAATTGTTACTTAATTAAGCTGAAATAAATAGACTAAAGAGCAAAATGTGATATGATAAAATTCCAAAATGCACAAATTAAATGCAGAATTTCTGTAGGACAATGGAATAAATGAATCCATAATCACAAATACTGTACATGACAATACACAGCCATCAGTCTGCAAGTTGTTATTTAAA